CATGAAGGCGTCCTCGACGTAACAAGCACAAAAACTTACGTACTTTTGGTTTCGACCGGACAATCCCTTTAAAGGAGCTGTGCAACAGGTTCAGTGCTTTGCTTAAATAATTTGGGAGTTGGTGTCTCGACCTTTTTGAAGTAAAGAACAAAAAAAAAACGCTTTTGCCTGCATATCCCAGTTTTTATTTTAATAATGGACAAAGATTGAGGTTCTTGACACCTCTCAAGTCCGTCACCATCATCCAAGTCACGTGCGCTGTGACGTCAATGGGGTTTGCGTGGGGATCCGGTGAAGCTCTCTCTCTAAAGCCATCAGTGATCAGCGAGAGCTCATCCACTCGCGACCGCGTGACCACGTGCTGGCGGGCGCAGCGCGAACAATATGGTGAAAGCATGAAAGTCTCATCCGGGTCCGGTCATACCCGTCCGGGTCTGTCCCCCTCCCCCTCCGGCTTCCGGCGGCTGTTCGTGGTAGCAGATAGAGCTCACGGTTTTGTGGACCTAGGATAGATGGCGCCACTAAAACTCCGTATAATAGAAGTTTCGTCGATGATACCAGGTTTTTGACGTATTTATATTTATGTTGGAGCAACAAGATTTATAGAAAAGTTATAGCTTATCGAGTAGGTATTCGCACAACTTGCTATCTTTCTGCAAGACCCCCTCCCATTGATGTCAGGTGGCGTGTTTCTCATGGCCGCCGCTCGCGGCTGCAGGTCGGGGAATATCCTAATATTTTCCTCGCGATTACGCGGCGGAGTAGCAAAATTTCGAAGGAAGGAGGGGTGTTTTCTGTCCTTTGTGACAAGGTGAAAAATCTCCAAAGTAGAAGATGCCAATTCCTTCAAATTTAAAATCGTTGCACAGCTCCTTTAACGTCGTTAGGAAGAAGATCAAACAGTCAGGGGAAAGTGGGTTTCAAAGCTCTAAGGGCGTCACAGATCACCACTTTCTAGCTTTGTAAGAACTCTACCTGCAGTCGAAAGTCGCCAATTTTAATGGCCAGTTTTATGTTCACAAAGCACGTATTTGTATTGGCCCGTCGGTTGCCCTCGTTTGTGCAATAAATTTCTTGCATCCATGAATATACGCCTCTCGGAACGGTTGATTGACACGCATGTTGTCCGAATTTTTAAGTCTGTAGATGATTTCCTGGTACTTGTGGACGATTCCCCGGAAATCAGTTTTGGCGACCTAGTTACGAAGATTGTCAATTTGTTTGCCCCTTATCTGACGGACTAAGGTTCGCCTGGGAGCCTCCAATGAACAAGTGCATCCAGTATTGGATCTCGAGCAAGCATTTTGTGAGATTCACGTGCGTTAGTGCTAGAAGCAACGTTCCAGAAAAAGTGTTTTGTCTTTTGACAAAGCGTGCAATTGCTTAGTCAAAATTGATAAAACGAGGTATTGCCTCTTTCTGAATTCAGGCTGCCTTATCCAAAAGTTGCCATTGCGAAGTAGCGACCTGTTTTAATCATCAGATAGAGCACCTAAACAATGCAGGTTACGCCGTCTGCTCGATTTCCAATGTGTATTAACGCATTCGTCAAATAATAAAGCGTAACGCCAGCACAGGTGAGCGTCAACAAAACAAAAGTTCAGAAATCAATAACTCAAGTGATTTGCACAAGGTGACACCCAATCTTCAGAAGATAGCTGTAAAATACGAAGTCAATGTTATTTTTTTCTGTGCCGTGCAGCTCGACAAAGTTTCTACTATGACAAGAAGGAAAAAGCGTGTCGAGTGCTCGAAGAAGCACGCCACCCAATTGACAGCCTGCACATATAATGTTGATTTTGAGATTTCGCTGACATGTGGGCTCGTTTACATTGTACAGGCGGAGCTATGTTTTAATGAAAGGTCTCGTGAGCATCGATTGCCCCCGTAATAAGTCGGGGGATTGGAAATCTTGCGGTTCACGGAATGCGTTGCGGGTGTTAACCCCTGGTAGAACTAGCAAAGTTTATAAAAAGAGTCTGTAACGAGGCGCAAAGGCAATGAGTAGAGGCGTTTTTAAGGCGAAAACGTTATATGTCTCATTACGGGAAAAGGCGGCGTCGCCGTTGTGCCCAAAAGATGGCCCTAAAAAAACGTCATCAACCACTCGCTGCTCAAGGTCAAAGCTGACCCGCCTGAGAAATAAAATACAAAGAGATGCACACCAACGCAGATGCTGGTTCACGGAAGCCGTGAAGCCGGTGGTGGCACGACGCCAGCACAGTGGGGGAGTGTGATATCAGAGCCGGAGCAAAACATTTCCCCCGCGGAACCATAATTCTTTTGTATTCCTACACGTATGCAGTCTTAAGTGTCTTCGGCGTGGTTTTTTTAATCAGTGCATCGGGTGACAACTGCGTCAGCAAGCAAACTATTGCTCATAGTGAGATATGAATTCTTTTCTAAATGATTTCGTCTAGACGATTATGACTCGTAGGATTCAGACACGTGCGTTTATTTGTGTGATTTGTAGTTTTTATTCTGAAGTGGAGGCATGAGTGGAAACTTTGCTCGTTCATGTGCGCTGGTTTGACTCAGACTTACTATCATTGGCAAGTTAGCGCCTGTCGGTGTTGTGCGTGTTTCTTGTACCTGATTCTCTTGGTTTGCTCTTTTAACCTCTTAAATAAATTTCAAGACCTGTAATAAAAACAAAGATGTTAAAATTTACATAATTTTATTTAAGTATTTCAAGCTATGTACTTGTTTTATTTCCCCCAAGAAGTTACGTATTACAGATAAAATAACAGACTCCTTCTGTTTATTGCTTCTGGCATAAGACGATCACTTCAGCAGCGGCTTGTAGTAAATGCGCGCTAGGGAAGAGTTCAAGTAATTTCCGTTATTAAATTCATAAATGTCCTGAGAAATATTTTAATAAATAAAATGACTATATAAAATAAAATTTCACCGAAAAAAAAACAACTAAACATTGCCAAAAGCTGATTCTTCGCTCAAATGCAGTGTTTGCTGTCTAAACCAGATGGCAAAGTTTCCGAACTAAGCTTTATCTCATTCAAAAGTTTGAAGTGATTTTCTGAAATTTTCAATTGGAAAATGGTGACAAACTGAGCTCTCAGATATTTGAAGCTGTATGGCGCCAGTCACCGAAAACGGGTGAAACCGGGCTTATTGTTTCATTGAAAATTTCAGAAAATCGCTTTTAACTCTTAATGAAATAACGCTTAATTGTTAACCTTTGGCATCTGGTCAGACAGTTAGCACTTTATTTTAGCAAAAAATGAGAAATCATTGATACGTTTTTTTGTTTTTTTTTTTTTTTTGTTTTTACTTTTCAGTGAAAACAACATTGGGGGGGCGGGGGGGGGGGGGGCAGACACTTCGTGTATTCGCGAAGAAGCTGCGTATATGTATACAAATTATGATTGCATCTTGGCCATTACCACCATTTCTGAAATGCGCTAGCTTCTTTTTTGACCTGTAGAATAGCGAAGTGAAATCGAACAGTCCATGAGCTCAAATTCTCTTATTCAGAAAGACGCCACATTCGTTCACGTGAAAGAGGTATTATAGAGAGCATTAAGCCAAGGTCTCATATTTCTGTGAATCCTACGTCCTGCCTATATATGACGCAAGAGCTCCAAAGGGAGTTAATGAATATATATCCCAAGAGACCTGATCATCTAGCTCAGAATGAATCCGGAGTAACTGATAGCGTAAGAACCACAGGGCAAGCATAATTATGTTCACGCGCTTAACCCTTACCACTTTTATTCAGCCCTATTGGAAACTCCCGGAATGTTATTGGCTTAAGGAGCGAGAATAAGATCAAAGAAACCCACCAGAACCTCTTTTTTATATTTTTTTAGTTATTGATGTTTTTTACATATATATTCCAACTCCTTAATAAATCATACATTCACTCAAGATCTCGGCGATTAGGGAGTGTTTAGACCGTGCTGTCTTTTGGTATAATGAATTTAAGCGACCATTTGGTTTAACACAAATATCAAAATTTATACATCGAGATATTTTGACTTCATTATCAGCTCGTTTTTTTTTTGTTTTTTTTTTGGATTGCAGATCGGCCTTTAGTATAACTGATTGCGCTTTTTTTTCACCAACATATTCTTAGTTACGTAATTTCGAAGTAGTCCGCCTATAAAACGTAGTTAATTGACTTGGCAGAACAAAATGGAGATATGAACTGTCCACTTCTCCAGTTGCTTAAGTTTGGGTTAACAACCAACGCGGGGCATGCTTAGTCTCGGCATGTTCTTGCTCCGTAGCCGATGACAGTGCGGTACTAACCAATATGAACGCTGAATAACGAATCAGGAAAGCTTGAACAGTATAAGCAACGCCCGGCTTTCCTTGACAGGTCAAGGGCTATACGCATACTTAGTCAGGAATACGCGCCCCCGACAGCACTATTTCTTAGCAAAGCATAGGCAACGTTTCAGCAGCACCCCATGAAGATTTTTTTTAATTTCTTTTTGGGTATCACACATTTATTACGCCCTATGGTTGTCTGTGCATAGTTGTCCGTTTAACTTCTTTAAGCGTACCCTTCCTAGGGTATGGGTTGCGCACCATGATGCTCCAAATTTAAATTCAAGCTCAAGTGACTAGATGGAGCGTTGGAAAAAGAGAAAAATGACATAGGATTACAATTTAGTCAGAATCGCTTTCGGCTAAGTTCACTGTGGGTGGATAAGTTTAAATGACATCAGCTTAAGAACTGCCACACCATAAATGCTAGCCATTTTTTTCAATCAAAAGTTTATAAGCATAATTTTTCTGAAATACTCTTGAACACTAAAAATTGAGGGCGCGAAAATAAGGGAGAGCTAAATAAAATAAAAAGATGCCCCTAAGCCTGTTTACGACCTGTGCCCAGATGATCCATGCCATTAATATGTATCTCAGGCACGTAGCAGAAAGGGTGTGGATAGCACATTCCTTTTGCTTGGGTGGAGTCCAGCATCATACACAGGAGGTATAAAAGAACTCGAGTACTCATGCGGATCACTAGTTCTACCATTTCGGCTAAACTAACACCCTGAGACATGGTAAGAAATTTGAACTCATTTATACGTCTGGCCTTATAAAGCCCCATTTGTCTTCTGCATTCACTGAGGTTTTTACTTTGGCGGAGAGTGTTATACTCTGAAGGACAATCCCCCACAAAGCCACATTTATTTGTTTTTATATTTAAGCGCCACTTCCTTTATTTTTCACTTCACTTGGTAGAGCATTTATCTTTAGTATAAGTTAACATACGTACACTAAATATTACGCTAAATATATTGCAGAATGCCCGGCCATTTTTATCACAAAATGTATCAAAAACAATTGTGCGCCCCCGAAACCAAAGTATATATATGTAAAACCTAAGCCTTTTAACAACATGCAACATTGTATCACCTTCCTTGCCGGGTTTTAGGTGTTCAGAAGAAATGAAGGACCTTTGATCAATTAGAAACCCTGCTCTTGTTTTTCCGTAGTTCCGCACTTTTGTCATCCTTGCCCTGGCCACCTGCGCCTTCGCCGGCTTCCTCGGCTTCCCTAGCCGTGCCAGCTACTCGTACCGTGCGCCCACCTTCTCCACTGTCGCCCACGTCCCGGCAGTCGGTCACGTCCACGGCCATGGCTTAGGCTACGGCCTCGGCTACGGATACGGCACCTACGGCCTGGGATACGGCCTACACCATGGTCACGTTCTCGGCGGTCTCCGATACGGGGGCTTCTACTAGAGCTGTAAGTCAAACAATACTAATATATCTATAACAGTAGTATATAACGCCACGCAACGTTTCTTCTGAATAACAAGGACACAGAAAGGACAAATCGGGAATAAGAAGGACACATAAGGAAGTTGAGTTTATATATCAGTATTTTTAGAGCAGAGATAAACACACAATTGTGTGGATACAAAATGCAAAAAGGCCCTTATTCTATTTTGTCCCAGATACATCCATGTCTACAAAAATGAACTATCTTTACGTGCGTATTTTTCGCTCTTTATGCCCAAGTAGTGGAGATTGCTTGAAGTTGTATTTTCTTGTGAGCAAATGCGTATACATTGAATGCGTGGACAAATCGTGAATAGGGTAGTGACAAATGAAACAAAACATTAAAACTGAAGTACTTCGAATTTATCAAACACGTCTTTATATCAAGATTATTGTCATATATTTGGCCGCACAACCGTAATGAGATAGAGTTCATAATTTTGCTAACATAATTAGTGAATTATATGTTGGTGATAGCCCGCGAATATTAATCTGCGGCCTTTAGGGATTTATATGTGATAAAAGTCTCTTGCACAACAAGTATCTCTGCATGCTTCAAAATAGCGAGTTGTTCATTCAATTTTTCTTGCCTTCTTCCAGGTCAAGCATAAGGACGAAAAACAGGCAAATAAAACAGGAGATATCATTGAAACCAATGTCTTTGTCATTTTATGACTGCTTTAGTTCTGAAAATCCAAACCACCCATAAATCAACCTTCTCAGTAACATTTGTAAGTGATTGTGTAAATTTATTGATGAAAAGTAATCTTCCTTCGTCCACGCTAGTATTGCTTTTTGTAAGGAAATTAAACAGATAATGGTGTAGTATAAACCACTTCTGATATTTGTACTCTTAGCCTAAAAATCATACAAATTTCGAGACAATAACAGTATTAATTTGACTCACACAACAAGAACATTTATTGATTGAGTAAGACATAAACAAACCTAGGCTTAAAGATGATAATGCAGTTAATGCAAATATGCAGCCGAGTTGGACAAGAATGACTAAAATAATTCCTGTAGAAGGGAAACAAGGGAGGCAAAGGAAAAACACAAATCTCCGAACACAGCTAGGTGATTAGTGCGCGACCGCTTACAGCGTTGCATGAATAGCATTATCATTATAACCTTAAAATGCAGGCGGTTGACCCTTGTTGGTGTCAGACTGGTGGCAGCTGATAAAACCCGTTTGCTCTATTGACGTCTAACTCCTGTTTAGTTCAGATGGAACATTTCGCCTTTGCATGGACTACCGAGCAGTGAACGAACAGACGAAAATAATTCCTTTTCCAATGCCTCGTATTGACAGTATAATCAATGAAACAGGAGGCTGCAAGTACTTCTCTATAGAATCGATTCATGTAAAGTGTTCTGGCAGGTTCCTCTTTGAGAGGACACCAAGAAATTCACAGCGTTTATAACGCCATTCAAACTTCTATGAATATAATCGCCTGTACTTTGGATGGAAAAATTCACCCAGCTGGTTCCAAAAGATGATGAACACCGTCCTCGAGCCTGACCTGGGAAGATCCGTAATGTATATGTTGATGATATGATCATGTACTCAAAGACAGAGCGCGAACACGAGGAGCATCAGGCACACGTTTTGTCCACCCTTTGTGAGGCCAACATCAAAATCAACTTCAAGAAAAGTGATTTTTTTAAGAACAAAGTTGTATTTCTAGGCAGAGTTCTGGACGGAGCAACGAAAAATACGAAACAACATTCAGTTGCCCGTATATCCCAGCTTGCCAAGCCTTACAACGTGCACTCGCTCCGTGTGTTTCTCGGACTTGCAGGACATTTCAGATCATTCATCCGGTACTATGCTACGAAAAGCCGCTGCCTGACCCAGCTGACTCAGAAGGAAACAAAGTTCGACAGGACCCAGGAGTGTAAAGACGCGTATCAGGACCTTGTTAAGATCATCACATCCGACCCGGTTCTGCGCTTGCTGGATTTCAATCTACCATTCGAGCTCAACACCAATGCTTCACACTACGCAACAGGTGCAGTGCTCTACCAACGTGACATCAACAAAACCGGCTTCCCAACAGCTACACGTCGTGGGATACCACAGCTCAACTTTCTCAAAGACTGAAGTGAACTACACCACTATAGAGAAAGAAGCCCGGGCGGTGCTGAAGGCGTTTAGATATTTCCGTTCCTACCTGGAAGGTTCAAAATTCAAGCTCTTTCATGACCATGAACCACTCACCTTTCTACTCAAAATGACTGAGCCAAAGGGAAAGATAGCTCGCTGGATCAATGAGCTGCAGCAGTTTGATTTTGAAGTATGTCATTGTCTAGGTGCTTCCTTAAAAGACGCCGACGCGATGTCACGACTTCTGCTAGCGTCCTCTGTAGGGTTACCCGAAGTAGTGAATTTATCAAAACTCTGGGAAGAAACAGAACAGCTAGAACTTTGCACAAAAGGGAAGTTTTACACGTTCCATTCACAATGGTTCCTCAGATTCTGGAATGGTACCACACAAACCCAGATTCAGGTGGTCACGACGGGTTCTGGCGGACTTGTATGAAGCTGACCAAACGGTTCACGTGGCCTCACATGAAAGTCCTGCCTCGAGTGCCAAATGTACAAAGTTAAATACCGACAACCTACAAATCAAATGACACAACCTGAACACTCCAGAACACATTTTGAAGTGCTTCACCTTGACATCGCAGAGATAAAAAAAGGACGAAGGTGTGAAGAAGACGCAATCGTCTCTGCTGTGCATCGACGAGTGCACTCGAATGGTGGCAGCAAAACCAGGTAGGGAAGACGCTAACAGCGTGATCACTTTGCTGAGCAGAGAAGTGTATCGCAACGTAAAGGTTGTCCTTTCGGACAGTGGAGCAGCCTTTCGTAGCCGCAAACTAAAAGGATGAACAGAAAGCCGCGGGATAGCCTTGCGATTTAAGGCACCTTACGATCCTTCGGCAAATGGCCTAGCGGAGCGCGCCATTCAAGGCATAAAACAATATATGAACATGCACCCCGACTATCCAGGTGGCTGGAAATATTCGCTTGAGGCTGGTGTAGCACATCATATTCGGTCCTACACGGCAGGGTTGGGATGCAGTCCTCTCTTCGTGATATCGGGAAAAGCTCCGCCGCTGCCTGCTGACAGACTGCTTTGAATTGCTGGACGAATCGATATCAAGGAACGCATAAAGACCGATGCTCAACAAGAAAGCTATGGGTACCAGATGAAACGGCATTTCGATAAGCCACACAATAACGAGCTTCTAAACCTACGGGTGGGTGACTTTGTCTTGGTCCCGAAGAGCCTGTCAGGATCTGCTTCACAGTTCAAGGGGCCTTACCAAGTCATCAAAACCGCAGTGCAACAAGGACCGAAGAACACAGTTGAAGTAGCGTCGATTACCAACATCTTTAAATATCATTCCAGGAGGAATGAATTCACAAGCCAAGGAGAGAGAAGACCAAAAAAAAAAAACAATAGAAGACGAAGCAGCGCGAAATATCTAGGGAAGGGGGGGGGGGGGGAGGGGCAAATAAAAGAAAAAAAGAAGGTCGGGGATGAAGATGGTGACGGATGTGTTTTGAGATTTCTTCCGAACGTTACACACGTTAAATCACTAAACATTTTAACACCTACGTACTTTTCATTTGATTCGGTTTTAATTACTTTATTATTTACTATATTGTTTGATGAAATGAGAGATTTTTTTTCTAGTAAATCTCACGTGCACGCACTTTTTGACGCTTAGACTCATTCTCCAACTGGAGGATGAGTCTATACGTACAAAATTCAGAAATTTTGTCCGTATAGGTCTGTAAAATATTCATATCATTCACATCCTTAATTACTCTATAAACAATGGAGTCATCTGCAAATAGTCTTACATTTGATCGAATTTAATTGGCGTTATGACCAATATACACCAGAAAGACCAGAGGACCCAAGATAGAATCCTGGGGGACACAAGAAGTGGTATGTACATAGTCGGATTGTTCACCCTTTAGTCCCACATATTGCTTTCGCTCGTTCAGGTAGTCCGTGACGCTGCTTGGAACTTGGAAGTGGATGCCTAGCAGCCTAGCAGCGGCAGTACTTTCTCGCCCTAAAACTACGCATCTATATTTTCAGCTGGTTGTTGAACTGCTTCTTTGTTCCTGTGGGTCGACGACTATAGCGCAAGCTATCACCTTGCCGCCATTGCTCAACACTCAGCAAGCAAGCAGACAAACGTCACAGTTACAAAAAGGTTAAAAGAACTGTCTGGAAACAGCCAGCCACAAGCAGTCTAGCAGCGGTAGCGGCAGTGCGTTGTTTCCCTAAACCATCCATATTTTCAGCTGACTGTTGAAGTGCTGAGTTGTTCCTGTGGGCCAACCGCTATAGCGCAAGCTATCATCGTGTCGCTTTTGGTCAACAGCGAGCAAGCCGATCGAGGTCACCACTCCAATAAGGTTAAAAAGAACTCTCTGCAAGACAGCGAGCCACAAAGAGTCTAGCAGTGGTAGCAGCACTACCTTTTGCCTTGAAATTACACATCTACATTTCCAGGTTATTGCTCTTACCTTCTTATGTAAAATTCTTACCGCCGTTGCTGCCGCTGCTGCTTCTTTTACCGCTACGATGCCTACCAGTTTAATGTTGTGTTTGAAGTCCGATGTGCTCTGATGAAAAGGACAATATATGTATAGCGCGCAATGAACCACTCCCAATGGGTAAGAACCTTATGTGCTGTTTTAAATGCGAATTTAGATTCTATTTGGGGGCGTGCTCTAAAGTGTATAAAAGCGTTTTCAAAAAGAAAAATGTTGCCTCTAAAAAGACATGGACATGCCGTAGGTGTAAGAAAGCACAGTGAATTAACAATCTAGAAACTGGAGATTGCCACCTAGAAACGAGAGAGATGACGAAAACACACTCACAGAAATAAACAGAAAGCTGTCTGCTATAACGGCAATACACAAGAGTTCACATGCTGATGGAAATGAAGAACATTGTCGACGGAATCGAACGCTCGGTCCAGCTTTTGTCTGACCAGTACGATGTCTTGCTTACCCAAATACAATAGCAAAACAAAGTAATAATCGAACAGAAGAAGCGTGTCGAAAAGATGACTTCAGGGGGCGATACCGAAGTGCAACAACTCAGACGTGAACTAAACGATCTACAACAGTATACGCTAGACGTCCAAACATCGAGGTACACGGTCTGGCGCCCCGTGATAATGAGAACTTGCTGAATCAGCTTAATGCACTCTCAGAACAACTCCCACTACCAAACCTGACCAAGAAAGATCCTGACGCAGCACACAGACTCTTTCCGAAGTCCGACAAAGTCCCAGTTATCTTAGTACGGTTTACATCCCGGGTAACCAGAAACACGCGGCTGCAGAACAAATGCCCAGCTAAAGCACATTGAATCCACAGTACGCATCTACAAAAATCTAACAGCAAAAAAAAAAAAAAAAATATATATATATACAACACGGGCACTTCACGTCATCGTACGTGATCTCCGAGGAGGATATAAACGAATATGTGCAGATGAATGAGCCGTACTTAATCCAATGAATCGAAGAATCAAAGTTTTCAGGAACCCGCCGAAAGCCAAAAAACTACGCCGTTTTTTGGCTCTCGGCGGGTTCCTGAAAACTTTGATTCTT